ATGTTTGCGTTAGGGCAGAATGTGGCCAAAAGCTGGTGCTCATAACTGTGTCCCTGTTAGATTCCCATCAAAAATTAGTTTGCTTTGGAAAGAATCCCTGGAGCTAAATGTCCAGTGTGTGTAGCTTTTTGTTCATGTTTTTGTCTCCCTCCCACCCTCCACGGAAGCATGCAGCTCTCTCAGAGTATCGCCCCATTCTCTCAGGAGCACCTGCCCTTCAGCCCCGGACTTCCATAGCAGATAAGAAGCTGATTCTCATCCCTGTCATCTTCATCCTCCTCCGCATCTGGAGCACTGTACGATTCATTCTGACCCTCTGTAACTCCCCTGCAGTGCAAAATTCAGTCCTGGTTGTCCTGCATGTAAGTATTTGCCAGGAAATGCATCAGGAGGAGGATCTGGGAGGGAGATAAGGTTTTATTGCTCTTAATATCACTTTTATTTCTGTGGCAGGAGGCAGCTCGTTGCGGGAACACTCGCTCCCTGCTGGCAAGCGCTGTCTGGGTGCTCACAGAGCTCTTCCAGCAGCATCTAGTGGCTACAGAAAATAACTGCAAGGAGCCTTGGGCAGCGCTGGCTGCTTGTAGGAAAAGCAGGGGCGGAGCAGAGGCGTTGGGTGTGTGTCCTTCAGCAGGGCTCAGCCCGGGCTCCAGGAACCCAGCCCCACGATGTCTACACTGCTTTTGGGTGCAAGGCTGACTTCTCCGGGTCTGTTTTACTCGTCTAGGTGGAATGCTGCTGTCAGTTGACCAGTGCTATAGCCAGGCTGGTGTGATGTTTGCTCTTCCCTGTAGGTTGATTCCTGATTAATTCCTTTCCTGCCCTTGCAGGGAATTGGGAACACGTTCCAAGGAGGTGCCAACTGTATCATGTTCATCCTCTGCACACGTGTGGTCCGGACTCGGCTCTTTTCCTCCGTTTGCTGTTGCCACTGTGATGAGCTGGATTTGCAGAGATCAGACAGCTACTGGCAGCACTCAGAACCCCCCAAGGACAAGGATGTGCCAGGCTCTGAGCAAATGAAACCCCCACTTGCCAGCACCTGAGCCTGGGTTGTCTACATCTCAGCACTGAGTTCTTCCTTCATGGTAAAGGTCTCCTGTGAGTCTTTCCTCCTGCCCTGCCTGTGCTCAGCTTTGGGATGGGAGGGGTGGGAGCAGCTACCAGTAAGCAGTTGTCAGAGGTTTCTGCTGCCTCTGTGCAGGTTCTGAGTAGAGCAGCTCCTCATCTGCTCCTCTGGGGTGAAGTCACTTATAGAACTGATCCACTCCCCTTCCCTGTCAGCTGGGCTAGTGTCTGTAAAATGAGGAAATGGATGGCAGAGCTGTCTGGCCCACAAGGAGAGGACGCCAGTCAAAACTGAAGAGGAATTAGTGGTTCCTTCTGTTTTAAAATACCCTGCACACATACACTACTCAAAGGCTGCACAGTTCAGATGAATTTAGTGCCACAAGTACTCCTTGTAAGGTAATGCAAGTCCCTGCTTCAGATCATCATAAAAAGAACACAGAAAACATGTTGGTTTGTGGAGCTGGCCCTGAAGTGACAAGGTGAAGTTGTCACCCCCTTGGCTTAAGGGAAAACAAAACACCTCAAACACAAAACCCAACTCCCTTCCAAACAAACCCAGGCAAACAAAACCTAATCAAAACAGACTCCTTGTTCTCAGTTTGCCATGTTCCATGGCAGAGCTCTGAGAAAACCTCTGGGGGAATGTGCAGCTCAGCAGAAGCCCATTCCCAGCTTGTAGGGGTTCAGGGAAACGTGCTGGTTTGTCAAGGCCAGCTGTTGGTGGAAAGTCTGTGGTCACCTTCATGTAGGCAGGGACAGAGAAGGAAAAACAGCCAGCAGAACCTCTTAGAAGTGTCTGCAGTTTCTAACACTGAAGCTGGCTGCAGCCTAAATCTGGGGTAACAGGGGAGGTGGTGTGCAGCAAAGCTTGGCTGCCCCTGGCTGGTCCCCTCCAGTGCCTGGCATGCAGTGCAAGTGCAGTTGTGGAGCTGGAGTGCAGTTCTCCCTGAAGCCTCAGTTGTCTGTGAAGATGACCCTGAGCTCTTTTCTGCCAGGCATGGGTGGGAGAATTTTAACTCTGATCCTTGTGAAGGTGGCTGAGGTTGGGGAAGCAGTTGTATTTTGGATCCATTTTGGCTGTTTTCAGCTGCTGCATGGTGACATCCCTGCAGCTTGAACTGGAGCAAGCCTGTTGTCCTGGCTCAGGGCAAACCTGTACACACTGGCTGCAGGAAGATGGGCCAGTCCTGGATTTTAACTGTGCTTTGTGTTGAGCAGGTTTGGGGTCACCCCAGAGCCTCACAGAGGGAGCTAAAGCCTGGGGAAAGGCATCGCTGGAGTGGCTGAGCAAACAGAAGAGGTCCCACTTCTCCTCAGCATGCAGATACCAGCTGCTTTGGTCTTCAACTTTGCCCAGGATCCCCTGGAAGACACTGTTTGGCTGTGTTCAACTTCCTGGTTTTCATCCCTCCTTCTCCTCTCTCCCTCCACTATGAATTTTAAAAATTGTTTGGGGTTTTGCTTTTCTGACAAGGCAGATATGTTGTGAGTTGTGGGATGAACGAATATCATGGTGATAGGAAAACTTAGTAGGAGCTGAATAGGACTATCCTGGGCATGGATTTTGGTCCTAGTGTGTGAGGTCTTCCAGGGAGCTCCAGACTAGCTCCTGTTCATCACTTGAATGTGGACAATCGTGTGCAAATATGCTTGTTTTGTGGTGGTGATGCATGGTTCCTCTTGATGTTTATTTTTTCCTCCTCCTTGGTGGTTAGGGGTCATCATCAGGGTTTGTGGTGGCAGCATGCTTATTGCCTCCTGGGAAAATCTGAACTCTGCAGACTCCCTTGGTGCTCAGGGATACATTTCTTCAACTTTTACAAAATAAAGTTTTATTCTTTACCAAGATGTTGTGCAAGCATGTTCTGATATCTCAGCGCCTTGGAGAATTTACAGCCATTCAAAGAATGCATGCAAGACACGTGAACAACTGCTGTTATTCATGAGGGTGTGTTTTTTTAAGCTGGTGGTTAAAGGCATATGAACCAATGACAGCAAGACTTGGTTCACGTTTCTTCTGGCTCCTGGAAGTATCTATGAACTTTGCATTTCTCTGATAAACACTATAAATTGTAGTTGACTATTAACCAAGTCCTGTACTGTTCAAAGTGGTCTCATAGTGCAGGAGGTTAATACTAAGCCAGCAACATGTAGTGTACCTTGCACATAGAAGGACAGGACCTTAGGTGCTTCCGAGGAAAATCTGTTCTGCACGCTGGCAGAAACACAAACCTGAGAGAATGAACCTGTTCTTAGTGATCTGCAAAATGCCCTGGGCAAGCTGGTCCCTGCAAGATAGGAGGCCAAGCAGTGTTTTGGCCTGAGGGCAAATCCACAGGAAGGTTAAGGCAGCTGGGTTTTATTGCTGTGGCCCAAGGCAAACAGCCTCTCTGTTGCCAAGGCTCCCCCCCCAGAGTGCCCTTTCAGCTCCACTGTCCACAGCTGCCCAGCAGCTAGGGGGTGAAGGAGCAGCAGCTCTATTGCTGTAGACTCGTCCATGCCCATATATTTGGGGGGAAAGAGCTTATCTGGCAGTTTCTGCAGTAAGTCTGCCCCTTCTAGGTGGAGGGATGAGCCTGTTTCCCTGGTAGCTAGGCACCACCTCTGTTTGGAGTCTGGATCTGCCAAAAGAACATCTGATCTACCAGCGACGGGCATGAAGGAGGAAAAGAGAAGCCACGAGGGAGTCATGCAGAGTAAGGGAATGATCAAACCACGGCAATTTACATTGGCTGATGGAGCTTGTCCTTGATTGGGTATTTTCTGCAGTCACAGGAGTGAGGTTTCCTGTGTAGGGCGTTTCTATGTCCTGCCTGGTCTGTTTTGGCTATAAAAGTGTGTACTCGGCATCTGGGGCTGGAGTGCCAAAATGAAGTTGAAAGGAGAGAAGCAGGAGAGCTCTGACAACAATGAAGGTTCCAAGGGGGTAAGTATTGCTGGACTCTGTACTCACAGCTTCAGAGTAAGCAACCTGAAACCTGCAAGTGCTTGTAGAGGAAGGGTAAGACCAAGATCTTTTGGGCTGAGATATCCTCAGCTGATCTCCCGGGGAGAGAAGAGATGGGCATGTTCCTGAACCCAGCCTGCAGTGTTGGTCCCAGTCTCCTCATTTTTACTGTCTGTAGCCGACCCCCCATGTAACTTCTGTGCAACTTTCCCCTTCTGTGTGTTTTCTTTCCTACTTGCTGATCATTTTTAGGCTGCAGATCCTTCTGGATGGGGGCTGTCTTTCACAACAGGGTTTTTGCAGAATCTTGCACAATGCAACGCTTCTGTGTGCTGGAGGTTTGCCTAGAAGTGTCCAGTGTGAATAACTAACACCAGTGGCTCTTCTGAGCTCTTGGGGCTGGTTTAGTGAGAGCAAGGCAGTCTGCTTTTCATCACCAATGTGACAATGTCAACAGTCTACCCCTAGAAAATGTAGCTGAAAGCCCCAGCCTCTTCCGGATCCTTACTCTGAGACTGACTTGGGTTTTGATTTCCTGCAGTGTCTTAAACTCTGCAGGTCTCTGGAGGTGAGCTTGCTAGAGTTTCTGTAGAATATAAAGAGTACTAGCAGTTATTTGCTCAAATTTTTAATTAGGGAAATGACAGATCCTTCATGGGGGACTGGAGTGGAATGTTGGGATGTAAAACCTTACACTAAGGCTAATGATGGTGACAGGAAATTAATGATGGTGTCTGAATGGAATATTACTTGATTATGTAGCAGCCATGAGAGCTATTAGTAAACCATTAAAAAAAAAAAAACCCAACCCATAACAAACCAGCTCAGTCAACACAGCAGGGCCAGCCTGGGGACTGAATAGCAACTGAATTGCTGCAAAAAGCAAGTTGCTTGTAACCCTGAGGACTGTGTACCCACAAACATGGTTGGTGTTTGAATCTATTCTGGATGACAATTTCATGCTCCTGTTTAACTGCAAAGTGCTGCCTGCACCCAACAACCGAGCTCTCCCTGAGCCACTTGGATAAATTCTAATTGGCTTCAGTGGCAATAGGATTAGATCCACAAACAGCTTGATCCTGAAATGTGGGAGGCAGAATGAGCCAGTGTGTGAAAGCAGAACAAATGACCAGGAAAGGGATTTTGCCACTTCATGTAAATCTCTTCTTTTTAAAGCTTTCTTGTGCCAATATCCTGTGTTATTTCCCTAACCAATTTGCATGTTAGAAAAAGAATAATTGCATACAATTTTTTTTCCCTGCGGGGTGGTACTTTAAGCGTGATAACTTAAAAATTATTCATCATCCAAATGATCCATCAATACCAGGAAGGAGTAGAATGAATTACTGTAAAGACTATGTGCAAATTGAGCAGAACAAAATGAGTTATAATGAAAACATCCCAGTGGGCTTTTTTTTAATGCAGTAACATGAAGTGAAAAATGCAGAAGGCAAGTCTGAGGGATTTTTAATTTTTTACTGAATGCTGTTTATGCCTAAAAGCCAAACCTGCTTCTAAGGTGGTGCTTCTGTGTTTTCTTTCCCCTCTGCAGAAAATGACACCCGTGCTTGCCGTGGTGACACTGATATCTGCATTTGGATCTTCTTTCCAGTATGGCTACAACGTGTCTGTGATCAGTTCTCCAGCCCCGGTAGGTTGGAGGAGGTTTCCACCCAAAGCCAGGCAGCAGTGTGGCAGTTGGCTCTGGCTGTTGGTGGGCAGGTGCTTGACTTTCTCTGGGCAGCTGGTGAGAAGTGGTTGCCCAGGAAAAGAGAAGGGGGTGTTAAGGTGTATAACTACTGCTCAGACTTTGCCCAGCAGAGATGGGGCATAAGGAACATCTTCCCTTCTGGAAACCAGGCAAATGCTCTAAGGCAGGATAACCTGTAGTAAGTTATCTAGTCCAGGTTTCTCCATCCCTTCCTTGCATTCATTTTACCACTGAGCTATTCTGTATCTTATTGAGAGATTTGTTGAAAGCTTTATGGTGTTTTGTTAGCCAGCTTTTACAGCATGACATCCTTGCTTACTGTGCTAAACACACTCTGTATTTCCTTCTAGTACATGCGAGACTTTTACAACCAAACCTACTTCAACAGGAATGGAGTGCTGATGGACGGTGGCTTCCAGACACTGCTCTGGTCCCTTACTGTGTCCATGTACCCTCTGGGAGGCTTTTTTGGGTCCCTCATGGTGTGGCCTCTGGTCAACAATTGTGGCCGGTACGTGAGAGTGGTGGTGAAGATCCTTCACCAGCAGTTGGATGGGTGTGGGTAAGACTTGGCTCACCAGTCACTCCAGCTTGCCAAGGCTGTGGGGAGCACGTGTCAAACACGTGTAGGTTGTAAGGTAGATGGGACTGTGATTAGCTGCTGGGCTCTGCAGCACGTTCTCCCCCATGTGTGAAAGAATTTATATGGTTTCAATACAGTCAAGGCCAGGTTCTATACTGGGCACTGAGCCAGGTAGAGGGCAATGATTAATGTCCTGAGCTGGGATCAGAGATCAGGCCCAGCTTTTGCTGCTTGGGTTTCCTGAGAAGCTTCAGTTCTTGCTTGAAGCCTACATTCCCTGCAGAAAAAAAATGGGGCTTTTCCTCTTTGATTAGTCTTAGGGATGGTGATTCATTTGAGTTTTGGATGGCATAATGCAAAAGGGGATCTGTCTGCTGTTGGAGCCTTAAAAATAAACAGAATCTGTCTCCTTCCCTATCACTTTGCAGAAAGGGCACTTTGCTGATAAATAACCTCTTCTCCATTGTTGCTGCAATCCTTATGGGAACCTCAGAGATAGCAAAAACCTTTGAAATAATCATCTTTTCACGTTTTCTCGTGGGAATATATGCTGGTAAGTGAGAGGTTGCATGGTAAAGGGAGAGAAATAAATATGTTCTTGGCTATGTAAAGGTTTTTTTATTCTCACAATGGATGGTTTCACAGGTAGCATATTTTAGCCATACTATCTGCATAACAATGCTGTACTTACTTGAATAACAGTTGTCATCTGCATGTTGAAATACTAAAGATCTTTAGTGAACAATGGCAGTGGGAGTGGAATTCAAGATGTGCAGAGGACGTGTGTGTCTGCAGGTGCAGCTGCCCTCTGCAGTAAACATCTGCTAGGCACTGGAGCTCCAGCAGCCAGGAAACCTGCTGATGATCATCTCTTTTCACAAATATTTTTAAACAGATAGCCTGGCTTTTTTTTTAACAGAAACAGAATAAGCCTAAACCAAAGATCCAAGTCACTGGAGACAATGCCAGCTCTAATAATCCATTCCTTGGACTGACTGTTCTTCCTGCAGGAGAAAAGTAATGTTAAAAGGGGAGAGCAAAAGGTTCTGAGCTTCTAGATTTACTGCAAAGATAGTGGGAAGCTGAGGGGAAGGGTGTACGTGAGCTGCTGCTGTGAGTGGCTCTATCAGAGCTCCAGTAATGGGGAGCAAACAAAGGCAGCAGGGCTGGTGCCCCATGCAGCACTGCACTGCCTGTGTGCAGAGTCCCACCTTGATAAGGGTCCTACAGCACTTGTGCTCAGTTAATTGCCTTTGGGCTAGTGAGACTGACAAGTTCTGTGGTTTATTAGTGAGTTGGGATATCCTGTGAAGATCAAATGAGAAAACAAGAAGCTGATAGAGGAAAAACAACTTCATCTGTAGCAAGGCAGGAAGCATATCGAGTCCAGCGAGGTTATTTTGGCTTTTGACTCTAAGCCTGGCAGCTGCTCCTAGTGTCAGTTCTCTGAATAAATACAGAAGAACTGTTAAGTGTGATCCCTCCTTCCAGTTATAAATAACTGACAAAAGAATCTGGACTGCCTGTCCTGACTGGCCCTTCACAGCCTGATCTCACTCGGAGCATGGACTTTGTGCCTGGGGAGGGGAGGTGCTGAGCCAAGGCAGGCTCCAGGCTCTGCTGGGACCCACGTGTCACCCCTCCTCGCAGAAGGGCAGCTCTGCTGCTGGGAGCAGTCTTGGCAGGTCCTCTCTGTGAAAGGGCTTTATCAGTGTAGGCTGGGCAGTTAAGAAGCCACTGTTACTTGAGTGCAGGAGTCACTGCTAGCATGATTTAATCTGGACTGTTAAGGGGTTGGTTGTAGAGCAAACTTGAAGCACTCCCTCTTGTGAGTTTAGTCTCATAATGGTTTCTAGTTGATTTATACTTGTTTCCGTGCCTTTTAGCTTTCAGATAATACCTTGATAACCTTTGTAACACCAAGCTCCTGAAGGGCAGGAACTGTAGAAATGTAAGATAAGAGTCGTGTGGTCATTTGATTCCAGGAGTTTGGGTTTTGTGTGCCAGGATTTACAACGTAAGCATGGGAGCTGGCAGCTCTCAGGGGTCAGAGTAGGTAACCATGCAGTGTTCCCCTAAATAACCTGTGTCCTATGTGAGTAGAAATACCTATGCCAGCATGATACCTGTGAGAGATGTCAAGCCAGCTAAGTCCTCTACAAACCGTTCCTGAGTAATTAAAGCAGTGGTAAATTTTTAAAAGCCAGCAAGAAGTCACATCCCTCCACCCTCACATCAGCTTGTTTGGATACTAGCCAGCATGGTACCTGTGAGATGTCAAGCCAGCTATGTTCCTGAGTAATTAAAGCAGTAGTAAATTTTTAAAAGCCAGCAAGAAGTCACATCCCTCCACCCTCACATCAGCTTGTTTGGATACTAGTTTGGGGTTTTTTTCTTGTTTTGAAGGAAGTAGAAATTGTTTCCTTATGCCTGGAGTTTGTTTCCAAACCTGAAGCAGCACACGTTTTTATTTGCATGTATTATGTTGAAGGACTTGGCAGATCCTGCTAGGAGAAAGCCACTTATAGAAAGATGGACATGGAGAGCCCCCAAAAGATCTGCCAGCTCTGTAGGCAGGAGAGGCTCCTGTTAGCCTTCTTGGACTCCTAAAGTGCTTTGCTGCTGAGTGGTTAATAAGCTAGACCCTCAAAGCACCAGAAGGTGGACAAGTTAATAAGGTAGGTTCCTGGGCCTTTCTGAAGGCACTGGATGCAGTGATGGATTTTTGTCCTTGTCCCACCTGTTGAGTGAACCAACACCATATGGTGGTTGTCCCATGTTCTGCTGGAGAATAGTGGTGGTTGTCCCATGTTCTGCTGCAGAGTGAGGAAAACATACACAACTTACTCACTGGCTACACGGTGACACGGAATTTTCAGCTGGAGCAGAAGTGTTTGAGTGTGAGGTTTCCATATGTCCCGTGGTCCAGCAGTGATCACTTTGGTCTCACGTGGGCAAAGGGCATCTCACTGAAGATGAGAAGTGTGATAACATGCTGCAGGGTGATAACATCAGGCAGCTGCACGTCTAACCTTGTTCTCTAACTGCTAGGTTTGGCTTCCAATGTGGTTCCCATGTTCCTTGGAGAACTGTCCCCCAGAAACCTGAGAGGTGCTATTGGGATAGTACCACAGCTCTTCATCAGTGTTGGGATCCTTGTAGCCCAGATATTTGGTCTCGACGTCATCCTTGGGAATGCAGAAGGTAAAGCCCTGGATTGGGACTTTTCTGTGGGCTCCATTGGGGAAAAATTTCTCACAGTTGTCATCTTGTCTCTCTTGCAGGCTGGCCTGTGCTGCTGGGGCTCACTGGGATCCCATCACTGATCCAGCTCCTTGTATTGCCCTTTTTCCCTGAGAGTCCAAGATATCTGCTGATACAGAAGGGCAATGAAGAGCAAGCACGAAAAGGTACAGCCTCATCCCTCGAGGGAAGGGGAGGTGGAATGGGGTAGATCTGACTGAGACAACTGACAGCAATCGACAGTGACGTGAGCTGGTGTGGAATTCTGGATTGGCACGTTGCAGGTGGATGGAGTTCCTGCTTCTGTCTCTGCACGTGTGAATTCTGAATTCCCATCAGGGAAGCACTGCTGCCCATGACTTACATATTGTTGTCTTGATATGAAGCAGGAGAGCTCACTGTAGACTTGCTCTCTGGGGTCCATAACTGACCTTCCTCTCCCAACTAGCTCTCCAGAAGCTGAGGGGCTGGACTGATGTGGATGATGAGATAGAAGAAATGCGCCAGGAAGACCGTTCAGAAAAGGAAGAAGGACAGTTCTCTGTGCTCAGCCTGTGCACCTTCAAAGGCTTGCGATGGCAGCTCATCTCTATCATTGTCATGATGATGGGCCAGCAGCTCTCTGGGGTTAATGCGGTGAGTGGGAAGGCACGTGGGAAAGGCCAGTGGGATGAGGGATAAAGGGATGGGACTTTATAGTGGATGATGTGGGGCAGTGCTGACCCAGGAGTATCCCTTCATCAGGGACACTGGTTCTGTGTCAGTGTGGTGGGTTGGCCCTGGCCAAGGCCAAATCCAGTATCCACATGTACTAGATGCAGAGCCAAGCTGTCCTGATAAAGGTAGCTTGGCCACCTTCAGTGTGAGGTGCTCGTGCCTGGATCCAGACACTGATGTCTCAAGAATGAAAAAATTCAGTTCTCAGGCTTCTGTGCACAAATTCCAGGATGTAAAACCAGACAAAATGGGATTCCTGCCTTTGGCCACGTATAAACACAGCTGTGGTTTTGCTGCAGGTCTTCTACTACGCAGAAAGAATCTTCCAGTCGGCAGGAGTGGACAAAAACAATGTTCAGTATGTCACTGTGTCAATAGGTGGCATCAACGTCATCATGACTTTGCTGGCTGTAAGTGTCTGTTAGGGCTCTTTGGGTTCTAGCTGGTCCAGTCTCCTCTGTCTGTCGCTGTTTAATTTGGGGTATTGACACACTACTGCAGGCTGCCTTGGACAATAGGTGCTCTGCAGTGTCCCTTGGTTGCAGGCAGCTATGTTAGCCACAGTGATTAACGGTGAGGATTTCTCATACATCTCAGAAGCTTTCAGTCTCTGGCCTCTAGGCTGATCTGCCCTTTTTTTGGCTGCCAAGTGTTACCATGTAGGGTTTCCATGCAGTTCTCACTGGGACTGGGTACTGAAGCATGGCCTGTTCTCTCAGGGTTAGTGACACATCCAGCTTTTTGCAGTTTCTGAGTGGCTTTGTGCCCACAATCCATCAGTAGATGGTGGAAATGTCACTGAGTTTATTTTAAGACAAGGAGTACTTTAATAAATCTTGCTGGAATAAGAAGTGTGGTACCCCAGGAGTCTGGTTTCTCACCTTCTGTCTTTCAGGTTTTCATTGTGGAATCCCTGGGGAGGAGAGTCCTCCTCCTTGCTGGTTTTGGATTGTGCTGTGTCTCCTGTGCAGTGTTAACCTTGGCCCTTAATCTCCAGGTGTGTAGCTGAAGAGCTCAGGTCATCCTACCCATACATTTCTGGACCTTCCAGGGAATGGGCTTTTGGTGTATTTTGAAGCCACTTCTACACCTTGGGTGGGGAGGGGACAGTATGAAAAGTCTCTTCTCTATCTACCTGAAGTGAAGCCGGGAAAAGCTGTGATCCTTGTCTGAGTACTAGTTGCAGTAGATGTTCATGATACCTGTTGCACCCAGTGTTTGGAAGCAAGGCTCATACCCAGGCATGGTATGGGGATATCTGACAACACAGTGCACTGGCTTAGAATGCTTTCAAACCTTCACACAAATAGTACCTTGACTGTGTTGGTGATGTTCAGGTAGGAACCACATCTGACCTGTGATGAAATTCTTTACAGACAACTGTCTCGTGGATGTCTTACCTCAGCATAGTCTGTGTCGTCGTCTACATCGTTGGACATGCCATTGGAGCCAGTAAGTGTGCCCAGCCTGGGCCAGGCTCCTCCACAAGCTGGCTAAGGCCAAGCGTTAGGTTTGGTTTCAGATCAAAAGCTTTGTGGAGCTAATCCAAGTAGATCTTCTCGGTGTGGCCGTGCACCTTGTTGACTGTCAGCTGTAGGCTCGTCCCTGCTCCAGTGGCTGGTTGGCTGTGCCCATGAGGCAGGGGAGCACCTGGCTTTCAAGAGGAAAAACAAAGGCATGGTTGTGCTCCTGCCTGAAATTCCCCCAGTATGATCTGGAGCAAAACTATGCTGAGATAGCAAGCCCTGCAAACAGGGCAGAGATGTCACCTGCCTGCATCTGCAGGCAACAAATCAAATGAGAAGGAACTCAAATTATACGTGTGGCCCTGCAGATAACTCTGCAGAGAGGAGATGTGCAGGTAAACATGGATGTTGGAAAGCTTTGTCCTGCCCCAGCTTTCCAGCGTGGCAGAGTTGGCTGTTCAGCCTGGAAAGCCCTGCCAGACCTTTGCTGGTGCACCAGTGCGGTTTTGAAACTCCTGTAGAGGTTTCACTGGCAGATGAATTCCCTACAGCCTTTCCTCTTCCATTTGTGCCATCAGGCAGATGCAGGCACTGGGGGAGGGAGAACACCAGGTCAGCTGGACCTGTGGCATGGCCCTGTTCTTAGAACATGCTCTGTTTCTGCTTGACCATGAGATGGAGCAGCAGGGTATGGGCTGGAGGCTTGTTCCACCAGTCCTCTTGCCAGCACCTGCATCTGTTGGGCTGTTTCTTTGGGGGTTTTTTGTCTTTTAAGAAGCAATGACTTGCCTAGTTGCTGCTCATAGGGTCTCTGGAGAGTTTTCATCTATAAATCTTACTTACAATTTGTACTGGGAAGGGGTTCATGGATAAGGTGCAGCTGTAAGAGAAGTTGATTGCTCTGTGTGAGCTCAGGAACATCATTTAGCTGCCCTGGTTTTTTTGTTCGCTTTTTATTTAATCCTTTATTTGATTTATTGGTTATTTCTAAAAACTAGCAATTTAGAAACCATGGCCTGCCACTGAAATGACCAGTGTAATCTAGGCATTCAGAGTGGGAAATCTGCCTTTGAGATTTGCAGATATGCATCTACATCTACCTTGCAGGTCCCATTCCCTTCGTGATGATCACTGAGATGTTCCTGCAGTCGTCCCGGCCCGCGGCGTTCATGGTGGGTGGGTCTGTGCACTGGCTGTGCAACTTCACCGTGGGCTTCGTGTTCCTCTACATGGAGGTAAGGTGCAATCACCTGGCAGAGCAAGACTTCAGCTTCCAATTCATATCTTCACCCCTGTGTTCCCAGAGAGGCTTTTTAATCCTGAGCGCCACAAATGCCCAAGCTGGTTCCCAGTACCTGTGTGCAGGATTATATATTAAGGGAAAAAGACCTGATGTTAATCAGCATTTTTTATTACAACTGACTGTTGCACATGCTCCAAACCAAAGCAGTTATTTTTTCAGGTGAATGTCTGAGCCTGAATTCAGGAGCATGGAAAGATTGCAAGTTCTTTATCTTCCACTGGGGCTGGGGGCGGATGTGTCAGGGAGCCAATTTTAGCTTTTGATGATTAATTTTAGCTTTTGATAGTTAAAACTGATTCCCAGCAGTAGGGACCCATGAGTTGCTACAGTCTCTGATTTTTAGCCTGTGCAAAGGGAGATGGTGAATTTATTTTGATTTCTGTAACAGACCCTTAACCCTCATTTTCCAGTAAATTCACAGTGGTTTCCAATAAACCCATGGTGGTATGAGAAGACATCATCTAGAATCACTCCTAACTTCTAGTTGTTCAACTTAAAATATGTGCACATCACTGGGGTGCTGGGTTTTTATAGTTATTGCAGGGTCCACCATGTCCAAATCAGGTGATGTACACAACTGGAGGAGCCCTCTGATCCTTGCTTTGTCTTCTTTCCTTGCTCTAGGCTGGGCTGGGGCCATACAGCTTCCTCATCTTCTGTGCCATCTGCCTCGCCACTATAGTTTACATCTTCATTGTTGTTCCTGAGACCAAGAACAAAACCTTCATGGAAATCAACAAGATCATGGCCAAGAGGAACAAGGTGGAGATTCAGGAAGACAAAGAAGAGCTTAAAGATTTCCAAGCTGTCTCAGATGGGCAGGCAAAGAAGAAAGCAATCTCCAGCAGTGAGCTGTGACCCAGCTCAGTGTTTGACCCAGCCCAGATATTTTTCAGGATCTGTTCAGAAGGAGAACAAATACATCAGATTCATCATTTGATGCTGATATTCATTTGGACCTTCTGCCAACTTCCCACAGCAGGAGTTCCCAAATAAGCCATTGTGTCTTTAGAGTGTTGTGAGTGATTAGCAGGACCATTATACTTCATGGCATAGCCACTGCCAAGGCAAATTACCCATTCATGGTATTTGCCACAAGGAAGGGACAATATCCTCAGCCATCTCAGTTCCTGCCATCAAGTAACCTATGTCATGAGGTGATGCAAGTCCCTGATGTACTGACTGACACATCTCAGGTGACACAAGCCAGCCCTTGGCCTGGGTTTGGGTCAGTCGTGTGCAAGGAGTGCAGTGTATTCCTCTGAGGAACTGTCATTTGTGTACTTGAGGGTCCAGCAATGGGTGACACCAGGCCTTTGGGCCTGGGGTGGAGGGGGTCTCAGTTCTTCTGAGCCTGGCTTTGCCAGACAGGCTGATAGCAGCATTTATCTATTCTTGTCCTTCCTTTGCATGCTTCAAAGGACTGCTGAGCTGGAAATGCACATCCCAGTAATCTCACCCCTACCCTGCTCACCCAACTCTCTTCTTCAAATCAGACCTAGTCCTCAGCTGTTGCTGAGTCCTTCCAAAGCCTTATTCAATGAGGTTAGAAGTCATCCACATGGCTGATGCTTATTCACAAGTAATTCTTCCTGATTTGCCCTAGGGACACTCCAGTCTTGGAGCTGTTTAGCTATTTCCACTCTCTAGTGTTTACGCTTCTGCTGACAGAGCAACAGACCCCCTCAATCCTTCAGTAACCCCCATACCCCAGTGTTGTGCCATGAGCCAGTTGAAGCTCATTGTCCCCCAGAGATAGGTGATGTTGAACTCAGTAAGAGTCCTGCTGCATTGCAGGAGTCAAATTCAGGTTGATTCCTGTGCAGTGGGCCACAGGTTGGAGCCTGTGTTCGCAGACGTGTCCAGAATTGTTGTTAGCTTCTCACACAGAGCTGCTTAAACTTAGGTTTTGAAATAAGTCAGCTCTGAACCACTTGAAAAAAAATCTTAAAACTGTATAGAGCTTGGTCTTTCTACCCATCTCTGCTTGGGTCCCCTGAGGGCACCTTTCCATCTGAAAGCTGAATTAGTTTGGAAAAGCTTTGAGTCTAAGGACTGGTGCTGTCTCTCAGAAGAAAGTAAAGTGCACACTGATAAAAAGGAAGAATTTATTAAAATATTTATTAGCTTAAGGGCTTTGGGGGTTAATTATGGTATAATTTAACATGGGGAAAATAAATCTAATTAATTTTTATGCAGGGCTGCTGCTTTCTGTTTTGAGAAAAGCAAAATTGTTGAACAGCCTGGCTGTGGATTTTGTGTTGCTCATGGAAATACTCCTCCATGTGATTAGCCTTAGGAAATGAAGTTTATGCCTGCCCTCAAACTTGTGATGTTCACACATTGAAAAAGAAGCTGTTCTGTGCTCTGTCTCAACATCCACTGGCAGAGGAAAGGCACTGCTCAAACCACGGGGCTGCACAGGAGGAGCCACGCTGCATCCTGCAAGGGCTTTGTGCTGCCTTCCCTGTGTGACACGTCTGCAGGGGAATGCTGGGGAGAAATGGGAAGGAAGGACACGTGCAGGAAGATGGTGAGAAACTGAGACTGGGTGAAGGATGTCAGAGAAATTTTATTTGAGAAAGTGGCTCCTTTGACCAAAGAGAGCTGCTCTTTGGCATGTAGGAAGATCTATGTATGGGGACCTAAATACTCCTGCAGGGATGTGACAAAGCCAAGTGTTGGACTGTGTCGAGTTCTGCTCTGTTCTTTGCCTCTATCTCACTGATGGAGGCTTTGCTCTGTTGGAAAAACAACCTGGAGCATTAGCAGGTGCATAGCAACAAAGCAGAAGGCAATAACCTAACTTTTTCTCAGTTTCCCTGGCAAGCAGTTTGGATACTTCTGCTGCCTTAAAAAAAAAATAAAGAATAAAAACTGAAGTCACTGACAGCTGGTGTCAGGCTCCAGAACCACCCCCCCCAGAAGGGTCATGGAGGTTTCTCCCCATGCTATGGTGTCTCCCTTCAGTTGCCCTGGTTTGCACAGTGCAAGTGCCCGGACATCTGCAGGACCCAGGACCCGGCTCCACAGGTTCACATGAGCCAGCCACCCTGCAAAACCATTGGAGAACGTCCCAAGAAGAGTGTCTCTGTCTTTCCCAAGGACAAGTGTCCCTCCAGCCTGGCTCACATACCCCTTCTGGATACTCTTTGCTTTACCAGCTGCTCCATTGAGCCATAAGTTTGCCATTCCAGACTGGGAGTCCCACACTAGGCAGTAGTGCAGCCAGTCTTGTGCCTTGTGGTACAGGGGGAAGCTGATGAAATGGCCTCCTAGCCACAATCCTGCATCTGTGCCCACCGTCATCACTAGCTCGTTGTCCCTCTCCTGGGTGGAGTAGGAAAGAACAGTCTGAGTGCCAGCATGCTGGGCTTTGGCCCAGAAACAGAAGGTGAAGGCTTGGAGAGACATATCACGGAGGGGATCAATGCTCACAAGGCTCTCAATGTTTTCCACAGGGAAGTAGAAAGCTGGAAAAGTGCTGGATTTAATACCTGAAATAATGAAAAAGCCAGTTGTTACATTTCCTGCTATGCTTAGGGATCAGCCCAAATCCTGAAGAATCCACCCCTAGGCACTGGCAGGGCTGTGCCAGCCTTGGCTGTCTTGAGCCACAGTTCCTGGCGTGTATCATACTGCCAGGGAAGGGGCCTGAAATGATTTAAAGCTTATCTCCTTCACCCAACTGTTTGGGAAAACCATTTTTTTTCCCCCCTCCTCCTCTTCTTCTTTTCTCATCCTGTATAAAATAGAGATTATGATTGTCCTAGGGGGTAAATAAATGTGATAAATCACTGTTTGTAAAAATGTGCTTACATGTTGTAAGAGCTGCAGTTGCTCTCAGTACCTAGATGAGGGCTTAGCTTTAATGATGCTGTAGTTGAATTCCCATCAGCAGGCCTAGATATGGGACAAAACCCTACCTGCATGTACCAGCAGCAAACCTCTTAATGATTTAGGCCATCAAGGACAGCAGGGCATGGGCTTTTTATGGGTGGAAGGTAAGCTGGACTCAAGAATAGATGTGTGTTTCTTACCTGTGTGGCTCACTCCACTCAGCAACTCTCTCTTCATGTCTTGGAGCTGCTCCTGGATTTGTTCCAGTCTGATGTTGAATTCTTCTGGATAGCATTGTTCTGGAACAATCAGACAGCTGAATTTACAGAAGGCTAGGACCTCACTCGGTAGATTTTTTTGCTTTCTAGTTTGTAGAAGGTTTGGGGAAAACCTTGACTTTTCAAATGCAGCATCTCACCTCCCTGTGGTGCCCGGCTAGTTTCTACAAGGGTTAGTGCACCTCACCTGCATGGGTGCAGACACACCTGGGACTGGTGTTACCTGGGGTGAGCCTGGCTCTGAAGGAGGACTGCACCACCCTCCCGTGGAGGGGCTGGGCGTGCCGGTAGTCGTTGCGCAGGGTCCTGTTGTGCCAGTCCAGCAAGGAGCTCTCCAGGAGGCTGAGCTGTGAGCAACCAGCAACGCAGGAGGGTTAGGGAGGGCCATGGGAACCACAGCCTGCCCTGCAACTGCAGGTCCTGCAGCTTGGGGTTAAACCTCACGGTCTTAGAGGAACCCACAGGGCTCTTGCTGAGCGTTAGGGAAAGGAACAGAGCATGAGGGTTGTTATCAGCTAATTAATGATAAAGGTATTTTGCCTGAAGGAGGCTTTTAACACCTGCCTGATAGTATGCATGGATGGAGATTTTGAGCCTATGAGCCTTCCCCCTGCCAAAGAGTATTTCTTGATCTAATGAGAACATACCATGATCTTCCACTACTGCAGTCTCCACTTTATCATGTTCTCCTAGAAGAAAATGCTTCTGATGGTTCTTTTTCATGAAGGAAGTTGAATCACTCAGTAATACTCAACAATATATTTTTTGTTAATTGTGTTACTTTTTTTCCCTGTTAAAGCCTTTCTCCTGACCAGGCAGACAGGGAAGAGCATCCTGCCATGTGATAGTGTTGAACTGCTGGGGGTCTAACCATGGGGTTACTGCTGAGGGCTCCTGTGCACCCCCCAAGGTTCTCTGTAATGTCTCTGCTGGAGCCTGGACAAACCCTCTGCTGTCACAGCCAGCACTCCCAGGCCACTGCTGAAACAATCCAGTCTGGCTGCACAGTGTGGTGTAGACAAGAAAAAAAACCCCAAAATACTCTTATAAAAAGGTGCCAATTATGCTGTAATTATTGTAATGTTATGAATAGCTCTTATGGTTTTGGGGAGTTTTTTTTTGGACTTTCTTGCAGTAGTTTTAACCTTGTTGATTCTGACTGGTCTCTTCTTTTCTATAATGCTTCGGTATGGTTGAATTTAACTGAGCCAAGAGCTTTGATGTTGCTCACCAGACCTCGGGTAAAGTGCTGCTGTGCAGACTCTGACCCTGGCTGTCGTGTGGCATCACAGAGTAATTCCCATTGCTCAGGGGTCTGTCCCAAAAGCTCTATTTGAGGAATGCCCTATTAGCTCCTGTGTCAGGCTGTTCCTAAAATCACTGAGGGACAGAAAAGGAAACTTGTGTGGAGGAAAGAGAAGCTGCTCTGTCTGGTAGGCAGCTGTCACTTACCTGTGTGTGTGACAGGACAATTGGAGAATGAAAGACTGTCCAGATGACACTCTCAGAGCAAGGTGGGGTTGTTAGTGAGCCCTGGTACCTGTAGAAGTGTGAGAGGTTTTCTGGCAGCATGGCTTGGACATCCAGGGAAATGAGCTTTGTTGATTGACCTCAAAAGAAGAGAGAGAGGCAACGTTAACAGTCGGGGAGCAATGAGCAAGGGGAGAGTGGTGGTAAAGCTGGGGCTGGCAAATCACCTTGCCCAGAGCACTGGTGCATTAGACCCTTGGCAGAACTGGT